TCCACTGGATTTTAACTTTGGAAGAAACAGATGATTACATACACAACATAAAAAAAAAAAAAAAATCTTGATGCATTATTTTTCTTCTTGCGGTCATCTGAAAGAACTGTGTGCTGTCTGATGAACCCCTTCTCAATGGTCTGTTTCCTCTGTGTAATTCTTAAACGGCAACAACTATTTGCTGTTTCATAGTACATTCTATAAAAAGATAGAATTTAAATTTTATTTTAAATTAATAGGATACGTAATCAACTGTGTTGGGTCTGGAATTGCTAGTGCTGGAACTGTGCACGGTATGAGTTCTGTTTTTTTTCAAGACAAGAAGCAGTGGTGAAAGCTTGTCAATCAGTGTAGATAGCATTGTTCCTGCAGGACAACTACCAATTTATTTTTGGCCTCTTTACATTCCAGTTCTTGTGATTATATAGTGCTGCTTTGAGAAATCTTTTCCATAGGATGGAAATTACAGATTTGTAACAGAAATCACTTGCTCAACTTTGATGATAGCTGTTTGTTCTAAGTGATTTAATAAAACACTTTATTTTCACTTATTCCACCATGCAGATGTAGTAAGACTTGACTAGACTGTTCTATGATTCTTACCTTTCAAAGGGTCTTAACCAGAATGTGATGTGTACTTGCCCAGGTGCCTGTTTTTGCCAGCGTTCTTGCATTCAAACCAGTATAGCACTTCAGCAAGCTATTTGAAGACCTGCTTGTTTTGTTTATTCTTGATCTTTATGGTCCTTTAGGGTACAGTGTACATGAACCTGAACAGTACACACTGGTTGAAAACAGAGGCCATTAGCTTTATAAAATTTACTGCTATGTAGAAATAAGTTCCAAAATAATAAAGTGCATTGTTTACCAGAAAACCTCTCCTTTTTGTACCATCATCTCCATTCCCCTTGATTCTCTGGAATGCTAGCACTGGAAGAAACTTTATAGGGGCCTCTGGCTCTCAGTTTTTTAGATGGTGAAAAATCTGTATCTCCAGTGATGTCAGAAGACTTCTGACTGAGAGTCAGATAGCCAGATGTTCTTACTGTGAGGCAGGGTTATGCTTTTTAGTTTTGTCAGTAAGTATTCAATAAACTATCTGAGGTTTAATGGTCTCTTGTTGACTGAAGAAAGCACATGGAAATTTTGGAATCTCTTCACCTGGTGTTAAAGTGTTAATCATAAAATCGTACACTGACTTGAAAATAAAAAGGAATACCCTCCCTCCCCCCTCAGTCAAAGCAGGAGTTTGACTGACCTCTCTGTGCATGGCTTTTATTCAGCAGCAGTTCAAAGACAATTTCTTAGAGTTGCAGTGGTGTGAAGGGGAATTCCTGCCAGATAATGTGAAGTGCAAAATATTTGTGCTGTCTTTTAGCAACTAGATTTGCTCAGTGGTGTTAACATAGCCCTTCTTTTGCACATACACTTCAAATATGAGGGACAGTATTACTGATGTTAATAGTGCATTAACATATCCAAATCTTTGTTAATTCTGGGCCTTTGTTTTGGAGATCATCTTCTACGATTTTAAATGTTATGCAGGTAACTGCCTGATTTGAAAAGTGTGAAAGTGAGAGGTAAACTATTGGGCAACAAGCTGAACGGTTCATCCTGATAAGACCAATCTGTTAAACATAGTGTTTGAGTAAGTACCATCCCATGGAGAACTTTGTTTTGTAGTACCTCATGTCTTTTGAATTCTCCCTTCCCCAGATTTCACACTGGTTTGTCTGTAAATGGTTCTTTGTAATAAAGGGGCAGGGGGGACCACCAAACAAATCCCCCAAAACTAGAACAAATAGTACAGTATAATAACTTTGGCTAATGCCTCGGTGGTTTTTAGATTTTTTGGAGGGAGCTGCATCCTTCTGTCTCATCCATCCTTAATAGATTTACCTCTTTGTGTGTTACTGACTGTTCTAGAAATCTCTTGATATGTGGATTTCTATATATATGATAAGCAGGGTCTGTATTAGATTCAGTTACGTCAGATTTAAACCAACCTTCATTCTATTCTGTAGAGAGTTTCTCACTGAAATAAATCAGCATTTCTTTGCCAAAAGTGCAGAACTGTGCTCCATTCTCATATCATTCATGTCTTTGAAGATAATTTAATCACATTTTCTTTATTGAAAACTTGTGATTTAGTTTCCATGACTCCCATCTTCCATACCTTCCTGGCTGTTCTTTGAGCTGCTTTTTGTGGGTCCCCATTTCGTTTTGAGCTTTTCAGAAGCCTCATTCCAATTCCCTTCCTTTATATCCACTTCAGATTCATTTCCAGTATAAAGATACAAATCTGTCTGTAACTTGTTTCTGCTCAGTTGTAGGGCTCAGACTTTCTAACTGCAGTGACAATATAAAGGTCGTTACTAGTGTGACCATCTGCTCTGACACACAGACCTGTACGCCAAATATCCTCTTTGACTAGATGTAGCTATGCAACTCATGTACAGGCCTTACCATTTCTCCCTTAGAAACATCTCTCCTTTTTGCTTTTTGTCACTGTTGGGGCTCAAAGCGGTTTAGGTCCTTATGTCTTTTATTGACCTATAAATACTAGTGTTTTCCTGATCTGTTTGCTTTGGTAAAGCAAAAGTTTTTTTCAGCTTCTCAACTTTTTAAAATAATATATTGTTTTTTATTCACAACTACTTTCTATTTAGAAACTTTCTTTAATAATGTATTCAACTTCTAAATATTTATTTTTTTGTAAAAAATCAGACATCAAACTGTTTTTTTAACCTTCTTAATTTTGGAGTTTTTTGCAAAAGCGAACAATCTGGTTTTCATCCAGGTTTTTTTCTGTTTAACCTCCTTGCTCAAGTAAAAATCTTCAATGATTATAGTCTTATACCACCTTTCTAACTATGAGTCATCTCTTCTTTAGTATTCCCCCTGCAGTGCTTCCCTATTAGTCATGCTACAAGCTGTCCTTTCTTTACTATGTAATATGTAAGTTCCTGATATTTACTTAATAAGTGAATAACTGCATGTTCTGTATCTTCTGTACCTCTCATTCTTTCAGTCCTCCCCCAGTTTTTATGACTTGTCCAGAAATACATGGGACAACTTCAAAATCATCTCTTACTTGCTTTGTGATGCCCAATGTAGGTTAACAGATGATGGGTAGGCAAGTAGTGTTATAAGAGACAGTAGCTATTTGTTATATATATATATATATGTATTTGCTAAAAAATGCTAAAGCTTCACACCTGAGTGCATATGGGTTTGGTGAAGGTACATTCTTACAGTTTTTCTCATCCTTCTGCTGTAGTCCTGCATATTCACTTGCAAGACTACACATTGTAGGACATGGGGTCAGTTTTTATTCATTCTGCAAAGCTTAAGCCAAATATCTGATCATAATTAAAGCCAAAAATCATAGATATAATACATTCATAATTTATGTAGCAGGGATTCCCATTGTCTGTATTTGGAATTAGTGTTCATTAAAGAATTTGCTGAAACCAGATGGAAAATAAGAGTCAAGTTACCTACATTCTCAACACTATTTTTTGCTGAATAGATTTATTTTAGTCTCCCTCCCCTATTTCCTGGGTGAATACCATCTATCATGGCCGTGGCCAAGCAGCATTAATTTTCAGGAACTGACAGAAATCACACTAGCCACAAACATAAGTGTAACATCCACTGGGGTATGTCTTGACAGTGTTGATGCTTCCATGATGCAGGGCTGTGTGCGAGTGATGTGAGAGGGAGGCACAGCCTTTCACCCTCCTGACACAGGTCACACTGGATAGCAGTAACAGGGAGCTGCAGGAACTGCATCGCACTCAGCGGGTCTGTATCAGCGAGTTCACAGTGTTCAGAGTGTCCTTGTCTTTGGAGACACACGGATGTTGCTGACACTTTTGTGTCACTAGCACTGTTTGTTGAAAGAGGGTTTGAACAGGACCTTGACACAGAAACTTTGGCATGCTGATTTTGGGGTTTTTTTTTTGTTTGTGGGGTGGTTTGTTTGCTTGCTTTCAGGAGAAATTTCAGCAGCTGAATGTACCTCAGGCAGACTCTTTCTAAAATACACTTTAGGGGAGTACAGAGGAATGTATTAGAAGTGTTGGAGTAGTTACTGAGCTCACTTGCATTGACGAAGTGCAGTGTGAGGCCTTTCTGATTTTTCTTCCCTCAGACTTACCAATGAAAATTTAAAATGCAATAGTTGCTAAATGCTGAACTGGTGGGATGTGTTTAGACTGTCCAGTCCAACTGTATGACCTAACAGTGAGAGTTGTCTGTCTTGGTGTAATGGAATGACAGAAGTCTCTTCCTTTGCATATGAAAGATGAAAAGCCTTGGTCTGAGAGTCATGTCAGTATCTAGATCTGGGAAAGCCAGATCTCTAATTAATAAATAATAAATTTCTGATAAAACTCTGCGCCTTTATCTGTAATTTTAACAGGTAAACTAATGCCTTAAAAAAACACTGTCAAGCTGTTTTTTCGCATTTGAGATTGCAGTGATGGTACTTTGGAATTTTAAATGTCTGATAAGTTGAAGAACAAGCATCTGTTGTCTGTAGTAGGTTTAATAGAGTAGATGGTGTATGCACTTCTACAAAATCAGCTAGCTGTCCAAGTTGGTGAATTAGTGAGGGTGTTCAAACTGTTACCAACTCTGCAAAACAGTGTGATCATTCTCTAGTGTCCAGCTCAATTTGAAAGTTGTTTAACTTTCCCACTTCTGTTCACTGATGTTTGAAATCACCATACTAGCAAGGCTTAGGTAGCCACAGCTGAACCAGCTACACCTACAAAATGGGTTTTATGATAAAGCGTCTTAAAAAAGAAAGTCTGAGTAAAAAGCATATTAGAAATCAGAAGTATTATGTGCTACAAATGCCTATCGTATGTTGGTAGATGACTCACATCAGTGATAACATTCCTGTGCCTGTTGTAATATTACCAGTATTCGCTTGTTGATCCACTGCATTCCAGGTGATGGAACTGAAAAAAGTACTAATTCTGATTTACTTACTGTGTCTGATGACATATATCAGCTCTACCCTGGACATAATTGATGTTGGCGCAGGGCATTTTCTCAAAGACCTTGAGCCTGAAATAAAGAGGCATATGTTTAAAACTGACTTGTAACCAGGTAAAAGATTTGACAGATGCATTTGTAGTGTGTTTAGTGTTCCAAGAAAGCCAGTTTTTAGTATGGTGTAAATTTAGACCTAATAGAGCTGTATGACATGGATGAGACTCCTGCCCACAGCAGGACATGCTTTTCAACCGTTCCCACAGCTTCCTAGTTGTGTAAAAGGAAACATAGTCTGAGTGAAGAACAGAAGTCAAGTTTTAATCTACTCAAGACCAGAAATACTGGGTCTGAAATATGGTCTTGCCATGCTGTTTATAAATTGTATCTCACATCATTTGGATGGGTAAAACTTATTTAAGATTTTTAAAGGGACTGCCCATTCAGTTTTAAGACTCTGAGCTTTCTTGATTTTACAGTTGTAAGCAAGAGAATATAGAACAAGAGTGTATCAGAGTTTTCTGCTCTGCTGTAAACACCACACCAGTTAATGAACTTCTCAGTGCTTTGTGCTACTGCAGTAGGAAATTCGTAGAAGTAGCACCAGGAATAGAAGCTTAGTATCATAACATCATATCTCATGCTTAAAATGCATTTCTGTTGAAAAGTGTATTTCTTGAAATTGTATAAAGCTTGTGGGTTTTTACAGTTGGATGTACAGTTGCATAAATGTTTCTGGGCAGGCTAAACCAATTGGAATTGGAAACCCACATGGTTCTGCAGAAAGATTTGAACTTTCTCTGCCCATGCTCTCAACGTGGTGGGAGTATGTAGCTATCTATGCTACACCATATGCCAAACCCAACCGAGGAAGTGCTGCTGAAAGGAGTGAGCACCCTTTGAGTTGGTTCAGGACTTCAGGCAGCACAAGTTTATCCACTAGTAAGAGATACTGTCATAAGAGGTCACAGCTTCTATGGAGCTACATGAAATTAAGGAAGATCGAAAATAAATCATTCAAACTCTTAAAATAATTCTTCAGTTAACTTTTTACAGTCATTTAATATTACTTGGAAAATACAATTCATTACTTAAAGCAGGTATTTTCAAGTTTCCAGGGGAACTCAATCCATTTTGAATGACTTTCCATCAATTTACATTTTACTGTTGTTACTTTTGCATTCTCCCATCTCTGTCCTTTGTAATTCTCCTGTAACAGTATTTTAAAGTCTGAACAGAACTGCTGTGCCACAGCCCTGAAATGTTTGTATTTAAATTCTCAGTGTTTGTGTGACACAAGAAAATAATGTTCTTGTTTTGAGGACTTGCTATTCCCGGTCTTAATGCTTTAGCCAGAAGAGTATCCTTCCTGTACTGTAGAACAGGAAATAAGCTGGTTCCTTTTAATTTCTGAAAACAATGAACTTTGTCCTTAGCCTGATTTTTTAGAAATTACATTCATTTTGATGTTTTGGACAATGCATTAGTTTATTTTGCTTCCTTGTGAAATACAATGGGAACAGCATGTCAGAATCATACATCTATAATAAGCTATCAAGGCAGAATTTAAGAATGTAAACATTACATATTTAATTTTTTTTTTCTTGACAAAGCATCTTGACCATCTCTTGTTCAGAACATGAAATTTCACATGAGGGTAATGGCTCCATATATCTAAGACATAATGAAGCACCATGATAAATTGGCAGACTTAAGGGGAAGGGAGCAGTGGAAGAAACAACTACTTTTTTCTTCTTTTTTCTGGGAACATTTACAAAAAAGCCCTAATCTTTGAAAGTACGAAGCCTTTATGTCTGTGCCCTCCCCCAGGTTTTGTGCAGTTCCTGGTATAGTATTTACTCTGCTTCACATTGCTTAGACAGTAACAATAAGCTGAGAACCTTTGTATGTTTTATTAAGTCTAATGAAACATGTTACCTCTGAAACTCTAAAGAGTTTTTCCAAATTGGACAGTATTGGATTTGTTTGGTTCTTGAAATAATTATGATAACACATATCTCAATCAGGAAAACAACATTCCTGATGTTCAGAGAGAGGATGAGATCTGTTCCTCATTGTATCACTTTTTTGGTGTTTTTAAATAAGCCAGGTAAAATCTGGCTTCTCTTCAGTTTCTTGTGTTTCAGCAAGATTTATTAAAATGTACAACAAGCCTTTATATTAAAAAAAAAAAAAATCCTTAAGGGAAAACAGTCAAACACATGCAGTTTTTCTCGCTCTGCTCTTCTATGCTCTGCAAACACAGTAACTATTTCAGCATAGTGCAGTCATGTAACATTGGTTTAAGACATGTAAGAAGACAATATAATCATTATGTGCTGCAGTTTATGCTATAAACTCTTCATACCTCACCGCATTTTTTTGAATCTACGAGTAGTGTTACAAGGGGGGAAAAAAAATCCTAGATTTAGATGTATACTTAGTACCTCTTGTGAGGCCTAGCTGATAGGAAAAGTGAATGTGTGTGTGAAATGCAGTCCCTTTATCAGATGTGACCAGAAAGCAGCAAACTCCAATATAACTAGGGATTGGAAGCAATCACTCCAAATGCTGTTAATAACAGTTGATCCTTAATGATAGATGTCTTAGAGGTTACTGTCGGGTGTAAATACATATAGAAAAAATATTTTTAAAGTTGAAATACTTGATATCTTTTGAATGGGTTTTTGGTGGTTTTTTGTATTTTCAGAGGGATAGGATGCTTACATATGAATGAATGATTGTTTTCTTTTGTCAGTACTTCAGCTGAGGCTACAACAAAGACGGACACGAGAACAGCTGGTGGACCAGGGCATCATGCCACGTAAGAATTATGTTATTTCTAGTCGTTTGTATTATTACACTGTATTCATTATGAACTGAATAGATAAAATAATAAAGATAAGCATTTCTGTGAGAATCATTAAAAATAACTATTACTTGAAAAGACTTGTGGGATCCTTTTTGGTAATGTAAGTGCGCATGAAGTAAATTCATCATGCTTATCTAATGTTTCAGTTAAAATAGCCATTGTGATGAAAACGCAAGGATTTGCAGACATAGTCTGATTCTCCTTTTATTTTCTCTTTCTAAATTATGCCTCATCTTACTGAAATAAATTGAATTATATATAAGTGGACATCAATAAAGACAGTGGTCTTTAAAGAGTAGGATGGCAAGGGTTGCTAAACAAAAGCAGAGGACACATAGACATAGAAGTTGTGACCTGTGTGCCAACAGACATGTCTTCTGTGTCAGATTTTGCATGATATTAGCTGTGATGTTACAGGACAGGAGGCAGTGGATCAGGCTGGGTGTTGTACTCTGGGATTGTGTGACCTAATGCAGAATCTTCTGTGCCTATGCCTGCCTTTCTTCACATGAATACCTTTCCAAGAATACGGAAAGAGAGGCTTTGGATTTGGGGTTTTTTTTAGAAAATTGGTTTGTGTTTAGAACATTTTTTTCCAGTTGTCAGAAGTTCCTGATCAAGTTGCCACATCTGGCAAACTGTCCAAATTGGTGTAAGACTTTTGTATTCTCTTCCAAAACAAAGATTATGTAGTGGTTAGATGCAGTCTTTGGAAGAGTTAAGATGCTGCTGATTCCCTTAGTGTGAAGTGTCTCACTGTGGCAGCAACGTCACCAAGTTCATAACTGGAGATGTATTTCTGATTTCAGGATTGTGTAATGCTGAGCTTCTGCCTCTTTGGCCTGGCTACCTACCATCCTTGACAGCTAGGCAAGAAGTTACTAGTTCTTCAGTAAACCCATTTTTATCTCTAACTCTGTTCTACCACTGGAATTTAATTGCAGATCATACTGCTTTGACAAGCAAATAATGTTTGTAAATTTGTACATACATTTGTATGTCTGAACTCACAGCACTTGTATTCTGAAAGTAATTGGCACGCTTTATGCAATTGCACTTTATTGCCAGAGTCCATTTTCTCCTTTATTGATTTCAATCTGTTGTGAGATGATGGTTGTTTCAGCAGCAGCACTTATGACACCTAAAATCAATTTAAGAATCACAAGAGGGTCCTCCTGAATATGGATATATAGGGGCCTGGAATTCAACTGCAGTTAACTCTTTCCTTAGAGATGTTTTGAGCTCCCAATGATGATGCTAATAGTTCAGTATAGCATCTTCTGACTTGTTCTGGAGATCAGCCTGGCTTCAGAAGGAGGAGAACCCCTCAGTGGACAGCGGATAAGAGTGGGCTTAAGATAATAGGTTCAAGTTGCCAAGAGTTTTAACTGTGAGAAGTGATTTTTCTTAAAATAAACAAACAAAAACCACAGCCATTGAAAACATACCAAAAATATGTCAAGTTATTATAAATAGCCCAGAGTGCACTACTGAATTCTAGCTTGAAAGCAGAGTATTTTAAAGCTAATCTCTTCTTGAAGGTTTCTGAGTATGCAGCAGAGTTCAAGGTTGCTTTGCTAAAGTATCTTCACCTTCCCAGGTCTGTAGTGTCGCTTATCTTAAGGAACAGAATGATCTGTTTCTTTTTGAGTGAAACGTGGGAAAAAACCTCTAAACTGTCAAAAGGTGTTAAAGATTTTGTTTTGTGGTATCTTATCTCTGCCACAGGTGTGGCAAATAAAATGGATTATGCCTGCTGCCATTTCACTTCCTTTCAACAATCCGATTGAGATGAAGCGTTCTACAACTCATATTAATTCTAGCTGGGTAGTGTTTTTAACTCTTTTTGGCTATTTAGCAGCTAACCATCCTTCTGTTTTCTAATCTGAACATTTGGGGCTTCCTCAAATTTTTTTAGAAAATCAGCACAAATAGTTCCTAACGGACGGTCCAGTTCTCTTAGTACCAGCAATTATGAAGTACACACAGATAGTAAAATACAGTGGAATCAATGAAACAGTATTTTGGCGTTCTGAACCTTACCTCATAAAATTTCTACTGTGGAACAGTTTTGGTAAATAGACCTCAGTGTACAGAGTGGAAAAGTTAACTGTTACATGGTAATGTCTGTTAAAATCAAGTATTCTAAGTATTCTGTATAGGAGCGTTGCTCATCTCTGTTAAATAGAAGTGAATACAACTA